TTAAAAGCACATTTTGACATATAAACTTTCAGACAGTATACGTATATGCAAATGAATCCTTACCCGTCCGATCACTATGAATTCTATTATGCTTACCCGTTACCCGTGGGATCTATCTTGAGGCAACTAAAGTTTGAGACTTAGAAAATTTCGAGCTGATCGAAAAAATGTTTTCGTCATGGACCGTCTTAGAAATGTTCAAAACGCATAATGATGGAGAAAGTTTTGGCTCAGGAAAATTTTAAAAGCACATTGTGACATATAAACTTTCAGACAGTATACGTATATGCAAATGAATCCTTACCCGTCCGATCATTATGAATACTATTACGCTTACCCGTTACCCGTGGGATCTATCTTGAGGCAACTAAAGTTTGAGACTTAGAAAATTTCGAGCTGATCGAAAAAGTTTTTTCGTCATGGACCGACTTAGAAATGTTCAAAACGCATAATGATGGAGGAAGTTTTGGCTCAGGAGAATTTTAAAGCACATTTTGACATATAAACCTGCAGACAGTATACGTATATCCAAATGAATCCTTACCCGTGCGATCATTATGAATTCTATTACGCTTACCCGTTACCCGTGAGATCAATCTTGAGTCAACTAAAGTTTGAGACTTAGAAAATTTCGAGCTGATTGAAAAAATTTTTTCGTCATGGACCGACTTAGAAATGTTCAAAACGCATAATGATCGAGAAAGTTTTGACTCAGGAGAATTTTGAAGCACATTTTGACATATTAACTTTCAGACAGTATACGTATATGCAAATGAATCCTTACCCGTCCGATCATTATGAATTCTACTATACGCTTACCCGTTACCCGTGAGATCAATCTTGAGTCAACTAAAGTTTGAGACTTAGAAAATTTCGAGCTGATCGAAAAAGTTTTTTCGTCATGGACCGACTTAGAAATGTTCAAAACGCATAATGATGGAGAAAGTTTTGGCTCGGGAGAATTTTAAAGCCCATTTTGACATATAAACTTTCAGACAGTATACGTATATGCAAATGAATCCTTACCCGTCCGATCATTATGAATTCTATTACGCTTACCCGTTACCCGTGAGATCAATCTTGAGTCAACTAAAGTTTGAGAATTAGAAAATTTCGAGCTGATCGAATAAATTTTTTCGTCATGGACCGACTTAGAAATGTTCAAAACGCATAATGATGGAGAAAGTTTTGGCTCAGGAAAATTTTGAAGCACGTTTTGACATATAAACTTTTAGACAGTATACGTACATGCAAATGAATCCTTACCCGTCCTATCTTTATAAATGCTATTACGCTTACCCGTTACCCGTGAGATCAATCTTGAGTCAATTAAAGTTTGAGACTTAGAAAATTTCGAGCTGATCGAAAAAGTTTTTTCGTCATGGACCGATTTAGAAATGTTCAAAACGCATAATGATGGAGAAAGTTTTGGCTCGGGAGAATTTTAAAGCACATTTTGACATATAAACTTTCAGACAGTATACGTATATTCAAATGAATCCTTACCCGTCCGATCATTATGAATTCTATTACGCTTACCCGTTACCCGTGGGATCAATCTTGAGTGAACTAAAGTTTGAGACTTAGAAAATTTTGAGCTGATCGAATAAGTTTTTTCGTCATGGACCGACTTAGAAATGTTCAAAACGCATAATGATGGAGAAAGTCTTGGCTCAGGAGAATTTTAAAGCACATTTTGACATATAAACTTTCAGACAGTATATACGTATATGCAAATGAATCCTTACCCGTCCGATCATTATGAATTCTATTACGCTTACCCGTTACCCGTGAGATCAATCTTGAGTCAACTAAAATTTGAGAATTAGAAAATTTCGAGCTGATCGAAAAAGTTTTTTCGTCATGGACCGACTTAGAAATGTTCAAAACGCATAATGATGGAGAAAGTTTTGGCTCAGGCAATTTTAAAGCACATTTTGACATATAAACTTTCAGACAGTATACGCGTATGCAAATGAATCCTTACCCGTCCGATCATTATGAATTCTATTACGCTTACCCGTTACCCGTGAGATCAATCTTGAGTCAACTAAAGTTTGAGACTTAGAAAATTTCGAGCTGATCGAAAAAGTTTTTTCGTCATGGACCGACTTAGAAATGTTCAAAACGTATAATGATGGAGAAAGTTTTGGCTCAGGAGAATTTTAAAGCACATTTTGACATATAAACTTTCAGACAGTATTCGTATATACGGTGTAGAATTGTAAAACATGTTGAATCGCGACTTTTGCTCGTTTCAGCCGCACTAAGAGGTAAATCCTTTTGGAACTTTTTGGAACTATGTTATTGACATGACTATTCCACTTCAAATTGTTCGCGATAGTAAGACCCAGTAATTTTGCTTCTTCCACCACTTGTAAGGGTTTACCATTAATTTTAATAGGAGGAAAGGGATTTCTATTTTTCGCAAAGCCTATCCGCAATTCTTTGCATTTGTTTTCATTCAATCTGAAAAGGTTTGACTCGGACAACTCTTCAATTTCGGACACTGCATGTTGGAGCATAACAGACGGAGATAGTAACGAAAAGCATAACAAACGGTATAACAAAGAGCATAACAAACGGTAATAGTTCGCACGTCTTTTTTAACTCATTTTCAGAAGGATGTAAATATTTATAGTTTAAATGTCTACGTCGTGAATCTTAAGTGGAAGTTTATTTATTTAGGACGACGTCCTAGTCCCAGTCCTCCGCTTGGCCCTGACGTCCTAGCTGACGTCGACGTCGTAGATCTTAAGCTATCCAATAAGTAAGTCAAAAACTCCCAAACCGGTCCTGAAATAATTCTTGGTACCATGCATTAGACCATGAGGACTCTTGGTGAAATGGTCATGTTTTTTATGTTAGTAAGTCAAGTTAGTTAGTAAGTAAGTCTTCGAGTTAGTTAGTCAGTCAAATTATAGTTAGCAAACAGGTCAAGTAAGTACAAGTCAAGTTAGTAAGTATGACTTGTATGCATGGCGTCTCATAAACACGATCATATATATATACATATATATATGCTTGATTAAGCGTGTTTATGAGAATCTCGTATTTTGGTGGCTCATGAGCACGCTCATGCATATATGCTTGTTTCTCGTCTTTTTCGATTACGGACTGTCTTGTTATGCAAGAATTAGGCATCGTCAAAAAGCCTATTAAACGTAGATTCTAAAAATACAATTTTCAGATGGGCGCAAATTCAGATTTTTCCTACAAGGGGCCTTGAAATTCAATAGAACATCAGATTCGAAAGAGCATAATATTAACTTTTAGCGTGCTTATGAAAATACCGTATTTTGGTGTGTGATGAGCACGCTCATATACGCTTCTTTCATGTCTTTTTCGATGCAGACGGACTCCCTTGTTATGCAAGATTGACTGAGGCATCGACAGAAAGCCTATTCACCGTAGATTCCAACAATACAATTTTCAGACCGTGGTAAATTCAAGTTCTTGCCGTTTCTGAATTTCAATAGAACAGAGCATAATATTAACTTTTAGCGTGCTTATGAGAATCCCGGGTATATTTTGGAGTGTCGACGTCAAACGCACGATTATATATGCTTCTTTTAGTGTGCTTATAAAAATCACGTATTTACTATACAATGTATTATCAAAATATAATTTGGAGACTTTTGGAAAAAATAATGGCAAAAAAAGTAAAAAAAAACAAGACTAACAAGTTACGAGACTTTTACCTGGGAATGGTCCACAACTTTCGCCCATGATGGCCACGATGTTTACCACTATACCATGATGTCATTATGTCAACGATGAAACCGGTAACAAATTACCACACTTCAATATTGTATTTATTACTGTACTGTAGATAGTATATTTCGACATCCCGTCCTTCAGTTAAATCGATTCAAAATTGTCTAAATATACAAAATATTATCAAGATATGAGTATTAAGTTGTTATGAGGAGCGATTTGGAGACTTTCGGGAAAAAATAATGGCAAAAAGAAATAAAGAAAAAATTATACGAAAAGTTACGAGACTTTTGGCTGGGAATGCTCCACAACTTCCGCTCATGATCGTCACGGTGTTTACCACTATACCATGATGTCAACGATGAACTATAGGTAAAAAAATACAATAATATTCTATTTCCCGTTGTACTAGCTGTATATAGATTTTTTGTATTTCACCCTACATAAGATCCTCTTCATCGTTATACATCGTGGTTCATGCCCTCGTCATCGTTGGTCAAATCGACTCAAAATTGTCCAAATATACAAAATATTATCAAAATATGAGTATTAAACCGTTATGCGGAGCGATTTGAAGACTTTTGGAAAAAATAATGGCGAAAAAAGTTAAAAAAAAAACAATACGAAAAGTTACGAGACTTTTACCTGGGAATGGTCCACAACTTTCGCCCATGCATGATGGCCACGATGTTTACCACTATACCATGATGTCAACGATGAAACAGGTAACAAATTACAGCACTTCAATATTGTGTTTATTGCTGTACTGTAGATAGTATATTCACCCCGCATAAGAATTCGCTACATCGCGTCGTTCAGTTAAATCGATTCAAAATTGTCTAAATATGCAAAGTATTATCAAAATATGAGTATTAAGCTGTTATGAAGAGCGACTTGGAGACTGAAATAACGGCAAAAACAAATAAAGAAAAAATTATTCGAAAAGTTATGAGACTTTTAGCTGGGAATGCTCCACAACTTTCGCTCATGATGGCCACGGTGTTTACCACTATACCATGATGTCAACGATGAAACAGGTAACAAATTACAATAGTCAATACTTAAATATTCTATTTCCCGTTGTACTAGCTGTATGTAGATTTTTTGGATTTCACCCTACATAAGATTCTCTTCATCGTTATACATCGTTGTTCATGCCCTCGTCATCGTTGGTCAAATCGACTCAAAATTCTCCAAATATACAATATATTACCAAAATATGAGTATTAAGCTGTTATGAGGAGCAATTTGAAGACTTTTGGAAAATATAATGGGAAAAAGTTAAAAAAAAACAATACGAAAAGTTACGAGACTTTTACCTGGGAATGGTCCACAACTTTCGCACAAGATGGCCACGATGTTTACCACTATACCATGATGTCAACGATGAAACAGGTAACAAATTACAGCACTTCAATGTTGTGTTTATTGCTGTACTGTAGACAGTATATTCACCCCGCATAAGAATTCGCTACATCGCGTCGTTCAGTTAAATCGATTCAAAATTGTCTAAATATACAAAGTATTATCAAAATATGAGAATTAAGCTGTGATGAAGAGCGACTTGGAGACTAAATAACGGCAAAAAGAAATAAAGAAAAAATTATAGGAAAAGTTATGAGACTTTTACCTGGGAATGCTCCACAACTTTCGCTTATTATGGCCACCGTGTTTACCACTATACCATGATGTCAACGATGAAAGAGGTAACAAATTACAGCACTTCAATGTTGTGTTTATTGCTGTACTGTAGACAGTATATTCACCACGCATAAGAATTCTCTACACCGCGTCGTTCAGTAAAATCGACTCAAAATTGTCTAAATATACAAAGTATTATCAAAATATGAGTATTAAGCTGTTATGAAGAGCGACTTGGAGACTAAAATAACGGCAAAAAGAAATAAAAAAAAATTATAGGAAAAGTTATGTGACTTTTACCTGGGAATGCTCCACAACTTTCTCTCATTATGGCCACGGTGTTTACCACTATACCATGATGTCAACGATGAAAGAGGTAACACATTACAGCACTTCAATATTGTGTTTATTGCTGTACTGTCGATAGTATATTCACCCCGCATAAGAATTCTCTACATCGCGTCGTTCAGTTAAATCGATTCAAAATTGTCTAAATATACAAAATATTATCAAAATATGAGTATTAAGCTGTTATGAGGAGCGATTTGGAGACTTTTGGGAGAAAATAATGGCAAAAACAAATAAAGAAAAGATTATACGAAAAGTTATGAGACTTTTAGCTGGGAATGCTCCACAACTTTCGCTCATTATGGCCAGCGTGTTTACCACTATACCAGGATGTCAACAATGAAACAGGTAACAAATTACAATAGTGAATACTTAAATATTCTATTTCCCGTTGTACTAGCTGTATGTAGATTTTTTGGATTTCACCCTACATAAGATTCTCTTCATCGTTATACATCATTGTTCATGCCCTCGTCATCGTTGGTCAAGTCGACTCAAAATTGTCCAAATATACAAAATATTATCAAAATATGAGTAGTAAGCTGTTATGAGGAGCTATTTGAAGACTTTTGGAAAAAATAATGGTAAAAAAAAAGTTTAAAAAAAATTATACGAAAAGTTACGAGACTTTTACCTGGGAATGGTCCACAACTTTCGCCGAAGATGGCCACGATGTTTACCACTATACCAGGATGTCAACGATGAAACAGGTAACAAATTACAGCACTTCAATGTTGTGTTTATTGCTGTACTGTAGATAGTATATTCACCCCGCATAAGAATTCTCTACATCGCGTCGTTCAGTTAAATCGATTCAAAATTGTCTAAATATACAAAGTATTATCAAAATATGATTATTAAGCTGTCATGAAGAGCGACTTGGAGACTAAATAACGGCAAAGAAATAAAAAAAAAGTTATACGAAAAGTTATGAGACTTTTACCTGGGAATGCTCCACAACTTTCGCTCATTATGGCCACGGTGTTTACCACTATACCATGATGTCAACGATGAAATAGGTAAAAAAATACAATAGTGAATACTTAAATATTCTATTTCCCGTTGTACTAGCTGTATGTAGATTTTTTGGATTTCACCCTACATAAGATTCTCTTCATCGTTATTCATCGTGGTTCACGCCCTCGTCATCGTTGATCAAATCGACTCAAAATTGTCCAAATATACAAAATATTATCAAAATATGAGTATTAAGCTGTTATGAGGAGCTATTTGAAGACTTTGGGTAAAAATAATGGAAAAAAAAGTTTAAAAAAAATTATACGAAAAGTTACGAGACTTTTATCGGGGAATGGTCCACAACTTTCGCCCATGATGGCCTCGGTGTTTACAACTATACCACGATGTCAACGATGAAACTGGTAACAAAGTACAATAGTCAATACTTAAATATTCTATTTTCCGTTGTACTAGCTGTATGTAGATTTTTTGGATTTCACCCTACATAAGATTCTCTTCATCGCTATACATCGTGGTTCATGCCCTCGTCATCGTTGGTTAAATCGACTCAAAATTGTCCAAATATGCAAAATATTATCAAAACATGAGTATTACGCTGTTATGAGGAACGATTGGAAGACTTTTGGAAAAAATAATGGCAAAAAAAAATAAAGAAAAAATTATAGGAAAAGTTACGAGACTTTTACCTGGAAATGCTCCGCAACTTTCGTCCAAGATGGCCACGGTGTTTACCACTATACCAAGATGTCAACGATGGAAGCAGGTAACAAATTACGTCATTTCAATATTGTGCTTATTGCTGTACTGTAGATAGTGTTTTTCGATTTCACCCTGCATAAGAATTCTCTTCATCGCGTTGTTCAGTTAAATCGACTCAAAATTGTCTAAAAATAGAAAATATTATCAAAATATTAGTATTAAACAGTTATGAGGAGTAATTTGAAGACTTTTGGGAAGAATAATGGCAAAAAAAAATAAAGAAAAAATTATACGAAACGTTTCGAAACTTTTACCTGGGAATGGTCCACAACTTTCGCTCATGATGGCTTCGGTGTTTACCACTAGACCATGATGTCAACGATGAAACTGATAACAAAATACAATAGTCAATACGTCAGTATTCTATTTTCCGTTGTACTAGCTGTATGTAGATTTTTTGGATTTCACCCTACATAAGCATAATATTAACTTTCACGTCTTTTTCGATTATAGAGTTGGAAAAACCTGCTTTTTGTTTAGGTCTACGGACGTCTAGTGATGCACGAGTAAGGCATCGGCGAAAAGCCTATTGACCGTAGATTCCAAAAATATATTAATGCATACACTTGTTGATCTTTAGACAACCAGGAATCGATCCTGGGATTTACGCAATAGCAACACTTCGTCCTTACCACTAGACCATCTCACCTACACTTGCTTTAACTCCTTTTTTATTCTACTTGGCTAATTTTCGCCTCGGGTGGAATTAATTAACAACGATGCCTGACATTAAAATGCTTTTGACACAACCAGGAATCGATCCTGGCTTTACGCACTTGCAAACACTTTGCTTTTACCACTAGACCATTTCGCCTACACTTGCTTTAACTCCTTTTTTTATTCTACCTGGCTAATTTTCGTCTCGGGTGGAATTAATTAAGAACGACGCTTTACATTAAAATGCTTTTGACACAAACAGGAATCGATCCTGGTTTTATGCACTTGCAAACACTTTGCCTTTACCACTATACCATCTCGCCTACACTTGCTTTTACTCCTTTTTTATTCTCACTTAACTCTTTCTCGTCTCGGGAGGAATTAATTAACAACGATGCCTGACATTAAAATGCTTTTGACACAACCAGGAATCGATCCTGGCTTTACGCACTTGCAACACTTTGCCTTTACCACTATACCATCTCGCCTACACCTTTTTTATTCTACTTGGCTAATTTTCGTATGGGGTGGAATTAATTAACAACGATGCCTGACATTAAAATGCTTTGGACTCAACCAGGAATCGATCCTTGCTTTATGCACTTGCAACACTTTGCCTTTACCACTAGAACATCTCGCCTACACTTGCTTTAACTCCTTTTTTATTCTACCTGGCTAATTTTCGTCTCGGGTGGAATTAATTAAGAACGACGCTTTACATTAAAATGCTTTTGACACAACCAGGAATCGATCCTGGCTTTACGCACTTGCAACACTTTGCCTTTACCACTAGACCATTTCGCCTACACTTGCTTTAACTTCTTTTTTATTCTCACTTAACTCTTTCTCGTCTCCGGCGGAATTAATTATCAACCATGCCTGACATTAAAATGCTTTTGACATAACCAGGAATCGATCCTGGCTTTACACACTTGCAACACTTTGCCTTTACCACTAGACCATCTCGCCTACACTTGATTGAACTCCTATTTTATTCTACTTGGCGAGAAAGATCTCGTCTCGGGTGGAATAATTAACAACGATGCTTGACATTAAAATGCTTTTGACTCAACCAGGAATCGATCCTGGCTTTATGCACTTGCAAACACTTTGCCTTTACCACTATACCATCTCGCCTACACTTGCTTTTACTCCATTTTTATTCTCACTTAACTCTTTCTCGTCTCGGGAGGAATTAATTAACAACGATGCCTGACATTAAAATGCTTTTGACACAACCAGGAATCGATCCTGGCTTTACGCACTTGCAACACTTTGCCTTTACCACTAGACCATTTCGCCTA